TATAAATAACAGTTAGTTTTGATTCTGATTTTTCTGTATTGGTAAGGTAGATAACAGTTAGTTTTATGGTTTTTATTTTCTATATTTATAATATAGAAAATCAGACTTTCTATATACTGTTTCTATATTGATGATATAGAAACAGTTAGTTTTCTGTATTGTTTCTCTAAAATTATAATATAGAAAATGCTAACTTCTATTTTTTATTTTTCTATATTGACAATGCAGATAATAGTTGATTTTATTTGTTTTTTTTTCTATATTGGCAGTATAGATAACAGTTACTTTTGTTTATTATTTTTCTAAATCAATAGTATAAGAATCTTAGTTTTCATTTCTTATTTTCCTAAATTGGTAGTATAGAAAATCTTATTTATTATTTTTGATTTCCTACATTGATAATATAGAAAATGGTATTTTAATTTTTCTATATTTGATAATATAGAGAATCCTAATTGTAATGTTTCATTTTTCTATAGTGATAATATAGAAAATTTTAATTTCTATCTATTCTTGTTCTATATTGCTAATATGGACAACAGTTACTTTCATGTCTTAATTTTGTATCTCATTAATATAGAAAATCTTGATTTTAATTTTTTTTTTATTTTTCGATATTGGTAATATAAATATCAGTTAGTTTTAATTTTAATTTTTCTATATTGATTATATAGAAAATCCTAATTATTATTTCTCCACATTAGTAATACAGATACCAGTTAGTTTTATTGGTTTTTTCTATACCAATAATATAGAAAATCAGATTTTTTATTTATTTTTTTGTATATTGGTGATATAGATAGCAGCTTGCTTTATTTTTAATTTTTCTCTATGGGTTATACAGAAAATATTATTTTTCATTTTTCTATATTGATGATATAAATAAATTTTAGCTTTTATTTTTTAGATTAAATAAAGTTTGTTTGTTATTTTTAGATTAAATACATTTTATTTTTTTATTTTTTAGATGGAATAAATTTATTTTTTATTTTTTAGATTAAATGAAGTTTATTTTTTATTTTTAGATTAATTAAATTTTATCTTTTATTTTTAGATTAGATAAATTTTATTTTTTATTTTTTCAGATTTAAGAAATTTATTTTTCAATTTTTTAGATGATTGAAAAGAATAAATAAAACAGTAAAGTATAACTGTTATTCAATGGGGGTGTTTAGTGAGACTTGACACCCTAACGAATTAGGTCATATACACACTAGAAAAAGTGAATTAACTTAAGGTTGAATTAATTAATTCGACCTTAAGTTAATTCACTTTTTCTAGTGTGTATATGGCCTTAGTTTT